TCAGCTCCCTGCCCCTGCTCCAAGAACCCAGAATGGACACCTCATCCCACCTGCACACACTCCATCCCCCCTGCCCCCTGCCAGCAGCACCGGTGGGAGGCTGCTGGAGCCGCCACCTCTGTCACCTGTGTCCTCCCAGCCCGTGGGGTTTGCTGAGCTGGAGGTGTACCAGGAGCAAAGTGGGAGAGTTACTTGTGGAGTCAAAGGCTGGAGCTGTCCCATCGGCCGCGCTGTCCTGCATGGGGTAGACTTCCACAAACTCCTTCTTGAAGACGGAGAGCAGGTAGGAAATCCTGTAGTCCAGCCGCACGTTGAGGATGAACTGGCAGCAGTGAGGAAGGAGAAAGTAGAAGTGAGTGAGTGTCCTCTTCATGCCATCTGACCCTCTGCATCAGAAAAACACATCTTCCTCACACCCCTCATCCCACGGATCCCACCACAGCCACACTGGCTCCAACCTGCAAGATCTCCAGGATCTTCAGCTTGGTCTCCATCACCACAATGTTCTCATTCTCAATGCTCCTCCCTCTATCCACCTGCTCTGGGGCAGAGCCAGCACTGAGGCTTGGGGCACTGAAGATGGACTGTTTCCTGCTCAGCACCATGGTGGACATCATCTGCCCCACGCCCTGGATCGACCTCCGCACGTTCTTCCCTGCAGAGCAGACACAGCAGGAGGGTCAGTGCAGGGGCAGAGGGAGGTGGCAGAGGACCAAGGAAGGACCCACTTAGAGCAGAAAATGCTGCAGACAGTGATCAGAGAATGAGCAGGAGGGATCAGCCACTTCTTTGGCACGGCCGAGGGCTCAGCACCTCCCAGACCCAGACAGAGCTTCCACAGCAAAACAGTGCTGTGTTTTCCTGCCCCCAAAACTGGAAAGCACTGGGCAGAGCATGGAAAACACCTCCCTGGCTACGGACAGGGACTCACCCGTCACCTCGTCGTTGTAGACTGCCTGCATCATCAGCTGGGGGTTCTGCACACAGTCGATGATGCCCAGCAGGGTCCGTGTCAGGCGCAGCAGCTCACTGAAGCTGTAGAAGCCGAAGTAGATGAGGTTGTGGGCAAGGCTGACAACCTGGGGAAGGACAAGGCAACTCCTGAGCTTGCTGAGCTCGGGGCTGAGCAGGAGAATCAGATGTGGGGGACAGGGAAGCCAGTGCTGCACCACAGCAGAGGCAGTGGCAGCCGAACACCCTGCAAGGTGCCAGGGACACCAGCAGCACTCGCACCTCGAAGGTGAGCTTGTTCTTCTCCTCGTTGGCGAAGGGCACGGCCTCGCTCACCACGTTGTTGAGGTAGTCCTCCACGAACTCCATGGTGCTGGCAAACTTGTTCTTCTTGTCGTCGCGCGAGACGTTGAGGTTGGAGTCGTAGCTGCAAGAGGAGGTGCTGGGGTGAGCTGGGTGGTGGTCAGTCTCATGCCCAGCTGGCAGGAGCACTGTCCAGGCAGCTGCTGAGCCATGGTGCCCAGCAGTGATGCTCATGACAGACAAAGCCCACTTCTTCTGAGAGCTGAGACCTACCCAAGTCACTCCACAAATGCTGCCCTCCCAGTTCCTGCCACAGCACCCGCCACCCCTCCTCCTGCCCCGTCCCTCAGAGCCACCACGAGCCCCAGAGCGTCTCACTCTTTGATTGTGATGGCCGTGGGGATCTCAGTCCAGAGCCGTGCAAACTTCACAGGCATCACCAGCTCCTGGGGGTCCCTGTCCACGTGCACGTGCAGCATGAGGTGGCAGAAGGACGCGCGGAGGTCGAAGGGCAGCATCTCATCTGCCATGCAGAGGAAGATCAGGTCCACTCCCAGCTGCTGGGAGATCTCCTTGATGGCCAAGTACTGGCGGTCCAGGCACATGCGGGCAAAGAGCTTCAGCTGGTACCTGTGCAGGGATGAGGGGGAGAGGGAGTGAGGCCGTGCAGCCCTCACACCCTCACCCGCACAGGAGATGCCACGGGATCATCACCTGTAGTAGCTGAGGACATTCTCGTCGTGGGCATTGCCAGCCCGAGCCTCCTGCGCCAGCTGCCGGATGCTTTTCTCATGGTGGTCGTTGTTCTTGTCTGTCCAGGTGAGCCAGACCTCCTCCTCCGAGTACTCAATGCTCAGGTACTCGTGGGTCTGGGACATCTCCTTCACCGGCCTCAGCCTGGAACAGGGAAGGGGTGAAACTGGAGATGCTCCCGCGGATGGAGCAGCTGCACCTCGAGGGGTGACAGGGTTCCTGCAGGGCACGGCGGGAGCTGGTGGAGGCAGGACCAGGCACAAACCCTCGACGTGGAAAACCTCTCCCTCGGCTACTCACTCTGTTTTGATGAGGATGTCGCTGTTCTTTGAGTCCAGGACGCACTTGCAGATCAGCTCCTGGGTGACGGGGATGGCAATGTGGTTGGACACGCACAGGTCCGAGAGGTAGTCCAGGAACCTGCCGAGCAGAGGCTGTGAGAGGGGCCCTGGGGGTCTCCAGCTCCTCCCTCCTCCCTCCCGTCCCCGACACGCACCGTGGCTCGCGGTTCTTGCGCACCAGGCTGACGAAGGTCTCCACCTCGGTCTTGGTGATGTGCTTCTCCAGCAGCTTGCGGTTGTTGTGCAGCAGCGCCGTGATGGTGTCCTCGGCCAGGATGTCGTACCCGATCTGGGACTGCATCATGCCAAACTGCTTGGCAATGTGCTCCTGCACGGGCAGAGAGGCAGTGAGCGCACGGGGCCGGGTGGGCTACGCTCCCCTGTCCTGGAGAGAGCTCGGCAGCCCCGGGGGCTCTGAAATGTGTGGTGGGACGGGGTCACCCCCTGCACCTGGTTCTTGCGATAGTCCTCCTGGGAGTGCCGGAGCACACGGTAGCACAGCCGAAACATGTACTGGTAGGGAGCGTTCTTCTGGTCCGAC